GTGCCGACGTCCCTGTCGGCGTCGGCGTTGGTCCCAGCCCCTGCGCTGGTATCGGTGCTGACGCCGACTCTCGCGGCGGCGCCGGCGCTGGCGCTGGCGTCGGAGTCCGCAAGGTCGGCTTTCCGCGGCACGTCCTGCACGATGGAGTCGAGCTTGGCCGGAACAGCCGTCCCAGGTCTTACGGCCTGCTGGACAAGGGCGGCGTCGGCCTTCGGCTGCACGTCCTGGCCGATTTCGACGAGCCTAGAATGGGCACCCGTGATGGACACCCCGCCCGGCTGGACCCGGGCGGGGACGAACCTCCACTGCGCGCCAGCTAAGAAGCGGAACTGAGCAGCGTGCACCCCATGGTGCGTGCCCTGGTGCGCGACCACGCCCGCGACCGCGACGTCGGCGCCGGTGGCGCTGTCGCTGGCGCTGCGGCTGGTGGCGGCGCCGGCGTGGGCACGGGCACCAGTGCCAGCGCGGGCGTCGTCGGCAGCGCAGGCGCTGGTCCCAGTGTAGACGGTCACGTCGATGCCGGCGTCGGTGTCGGTCTCCGCGAAGGTTTCAGCGTCGGCGTAGGCGCCCGCGTCAGCGTCGGCGCTGCCGTCGCTATCGGAGCAGGCGGCGGCGTTGGCGTCGACGTCGGCGCTGGCGTCAGCAGTGGCGGAGGTGGAGTCGCCCGCGCGGCAGTCCTCGCGATTCGGCTGGCACGGAGCGGCCCACGGCGGTGGCGGCGAGGGCAGTTGCGGCACCCCGGCTGGGCAAGCCCCGCCGGCAGCGCGCGGCGCACGCCCGAGCTGGCCCCCACGGCCTCGCTTAGGCAGGGGACCAACGCGCCCCGATCGCGCGGCGCCGGCCCGCCGGCGCGAAGCCGCGAAGAGCCCGAGACGCGCGCGTCGCGCTAAGCGCGACAGAAAGCCGAACGGGCAGCGCGCGCGCGCGAGGAAGCCCGCGTGAGCGGCACGGAGCCTGCGGAGCCAAGCGCGCGCGTGCGGAAGCGTGGTGCTGGTGACGCGGTCGCTGACGTTGGGGCCAGCGTCGACGCCGGCGGCGGCGCGGGCGCCGGTGCCCGTGCAGACGTCCCTGTCGGCGTCGGCGTCGGCCCCGATCCCTGCGATGGCATCGCTGCTGACGCCGGCCGTAGCGGCGTCGTCGGGGCCGCCGCTGGGGTCGGCGGCGGCGTTGGTTTCGGCGTAGGCGGTGACGCCGCTGACGACGTCTGCGTTGACGCCGATGCCGGTAGCGGGGCCCGCGTCAGCGCCGAGCCGGAGCCACGTGGTGCTGGCAAAGGCGCCGGTGTCGGGACTGGCGGTGGTGCAAGCGTCGGCGCCGGTCGCGGCGTTGGCGGTCGCGGCGGCGGCAACGCCCGCATCGGCATCGGAGGCGTCGGCGTTGGCGCGGACGTCGGTGCTGGCGCTGACGTTGGCGTAGGCCGTTATGCTGGAGCCGACCTCCACGCTGGCGTCGGTGCGGGTGCCGAGTCCCACGTCGGAGCTCCCGGCGCCAGGTCTGGACCAACGCGCGGCCCAGACCTCGCCGGCCTCCGAGCGGGTGAGGGCGATAGCGTCGATGCTGGCGCCTGCGCTCGCCGCCGGGTGGGCGGCGGCGCCCACGCGGGCCTCGCAACCGAGGGCGTTGACGCCGGCGTCGGCGGTGACGTTGGGAGCGTGGGCGCTGGCGCCTGCGCTGGCGGCCGCGGAAGCGGCAACGTCCTCATAGGCGTCGGAGCCGGGGGCGCGGTCGCCGGCGTCGGGCTCGGCGGCGGCCTCGGCGTAGGCGTCCGCGCTGGCGTCGTCGCTGGCGTTGTAGTCGGTGTAGGCGGAGACATTGGGGGCGTCGGCGCTAGCGTCGCAGGAGGCGGCCCCAGTGCCAGCCCGTGTATCGGCGTCGATGTCAGCGTCGGCGTTGGCGCCGGCGCTGACGATGGCGCAGGCGGTGACGACGGGGTCGACGACGGTGGTGGCGTCAATGCTGGGAACGGGGCCCTCTTCGGGGCCCGCGGCGCCGAGCCTGGCCCAGTCCAGGTCACAAACCTCGTCGGCCTCCACGACCGTCTCGGCCCCGTCCGACCCCGCGGCCCTCCTCGAGTCCTCGGCGACGCTCACGCTCGCGGCGCGGTGGTGGCGAGCCTCATCCAGCAGCGGCTGCCCCAGCTCCAGGGCCCCCGGGGCTTCTCGGGGGGGCTCCTCGCGATCCATCGGCGCGACCTCCCAGGTCTCGGGCGCAACCGTCAACCAGTACTGTTTGGCCTCCGGTAGCGCCCGCCCCGCCGCCTCCGCAGTTGCCCGCTCAGAGCGGTGCCCCGTGAGCGCGCCTCCGGCCCCCTCGAGGGGCAGGGCGCGCCGGCGCAGTCGCGCTTCCAGCTCGGGGCCAGCGCCGCGCCAAAGGTCCGGAGCCGGCGGCGGAGGCGCCGCGTTGCGATATGCGCCAGCTCCGGCATCGGCGTCGCCGCTCGCGGCGGCGGCGGCGAAAGTGCCGGCGCCGGCGGAGGCGTCGAAGTCGCGGCCGCCGGCGTCAGCGGGCGCGTCGCAAATGGCGTCGGCGTCGGCGTGGGCGCGGGCGCAGGCGATGGGGCCAGCGCGGGCGACGGCGGAGGCGTAGGTGTCGGTGCGGTCGTCGGCGCCGGCGTCGTCCAGGTGCACAGCGCCGAGCTCCACGTCCGCGCCTGTCCACGACCCCACGCGCGCTCCCCCCCTGCGGTACTCCCTGGTGTCAGAGTCGGCGGGGGCACGGGCGCCGATGCTGGCGCCGGCGCGGGCCTCGGCGACGGCGCGGGCGTTGGCGCCAACGGAGCCCCAGCAACCCGCCGGCAACCGGGCGCCGTGGACGTCCTCGTGGGCGCGGACCAGTTTGACCTCTGACCCTCCCGGCACCCCCGCGTCGTCGTCGCCGTCGTCGCCCGCTCCCGGCGCCAGGCCCGATCGAGGCAGCCGCGGAGTCGCCCAGGGCGCGATGCTCCCCGAGGCTGGTCTCCTCGGGCTCCTCGGGAATGAGCTCCCCCTGGATAGTGGTCCTCCTCATCCTCCCCCGCCTCCTCATCCTCGCTCTCGGAAAGGCCTCCTCCCTCGCCGCTCCTTCGCCTCCGCCGCCTACTCCTCTTCCTCCTCTGCCGCTGGCCCCCTCGGTCGTAGCGGCCCCGCCGGGCTCGCGCGAGGGCGGCGGGACCGCCCGCTCGGTCTCGACGTCCCCAGCGGCGCGTGGCTCCGTGACGAAGTCCGCGGTACCTATTCCTGCCTCGCCCCCCGTCTCTGCGGCAGCCTCGAGCTCGTCGACGCGGGCCCGCAGGTTCTCAGCGATCGTGGCCCCCAGCTCGAGGTTGGTCGTCAGGCGGTCGATCCATGCCAACAGGCCGTCGATCCACGCCCACGAGTTGTCCACGTCGACGTCCGCGCGGCTCCTCGCCAAGGCCTCCTCGGCACGGAATCTGCGCGCCCGCTCGTACTCGCACGCCTGGCTCCTCCCTTGGGCGAGCCTCTCGGCCATCCTGTCGCCGCGCCGCCTCCTGCCGGCGAGTCGCCTCCTTCGCACACGCCTGGCGCCACGCTTCGGCCCCCTCGGCGGCGCGAGACCGCGCGGCCTCCAGAGCAGTGCACCGCGACCGGGCCTCGGCCAGCTTCTCCCCGGCGTCGAGCGCCTCGGTCGCCCAAAGCTGCAGGTTGGTGCCTTTCTCGGCCAGCTCAGCCTCCATGCGGCGATGTCGGCACCCTGCTCCCAACGCGCAGCAGGCCAACCAGCCAGCAACCAGCCAGCTGAAGCGCAGCGGGTCGAAGCTCAGCGCTGCCTCGCCGGGCCCGTAGGTGCCCGGGGACCCCGTCGGCTGGCCTGATGCCTCGCCGGGTCTCCCAGGATGCGTGGGCGGGGTGCGTGGCTCTTCCCTACTGGGACCGCCCTTGGCACCCGACCCGCCCGCTGGCTCGGCCGCGGCTGGGCTACCCGAAGGTCCGCTCCCGCGCGCGCGGCCGACGCCAGTCGTAGTGGAAATGGGGCCTGCGGGCCAGGCCGCGGCTGGGCTAACTGCGGGTTCGCCCCCGCGCTCGCGGCCCGGGCCAGGCTGCGAGGGTGTCGTCGTAGTCGTCGGCGGCGTGGTCGTCGTCGTGGTTGCGGTAGTGGGGACCCCAGGAGGTTTGGCCGGCGGCCCTCGCCCCTTCCTTCCCGCAGGCGCAGGCTTGGCGGGCGGAGCTCGCCCCTTGCCATGCCCCCCGCCGCCCGCGGGCCGGAGTTTCGGCCCGGGCTGAGATGGCGGCGCCGGCGCTGGGGACATTGCGTCCCCCGCGCCGTCAAGAAGCCACCAACCCATCGCCCCTTGGGCCGAGAACGCCCCACTAACCGCCAAGATCACGGCATGCGCCCCGAGGAAGCCCACGGCCATGGCACCGCTGGCCCGCGCGCCCGCCACGAGGCTGGTGGCGCCGGCCACGCCCGCACACCCGCTCCCGGAGCTGGCGGTGCAGGACGCTGCGGTTTTGGCCGCCCCGCGGCCCCCCGGACCCCCGAGTCCTGGCTCGATCTCGAGCCAACGACTACGGACCCAAAATGGCTAAGGCAAAGCCCCCGCTTCCCTACGCTTAACCTGCAGTCTACCCACAAAACAGACTATACAAAAGCTAGACACTTCGATCGATGTGCAGCTGCAGCTGCACAGGTACTTAGATTGCCAGTCATATGGTCAGTGGTATCGCTAGCTGCATTGTCAGCTAATCGGGTAGGCAAGTGCATATTCTGCTAGTGGAGAATTGCACATACCTTTACAAGGCTCGCTTCCGTTGGCTCTGATGGTGCTCTGTGATGCTCGATCGGATGTCCTACTATTTGTTCTCCGCATGCGCTATCGCAACGTGTTCACTATTCCCAGGGCTTGGGCACGAAGCACTGGCCAAGCACCAAACGGCTGAACTTAGATATTGATGCGCTTACAAGGAAAAACCTGGCAACATAAACTCAAAGGCAGAGCGCCCCATGGATAACCCAATCAAGCGCGCACAGGCACCTCTGCCGCAGAGCCAGCCCCCGAGGGTCTACATTGAATCTGGAACGGCGTCGGAGGCTGGCAAGAGGCAAGCGAACAGTGCGGGCGCGGGCGAGACGAGCAGGTCGGTGTAGGACTGCGTGTACTGCTCCATCGACGAGCCGCCCATCCGCACCAGCCGCCCCACCTGCCGCGCCGGCCTGGGGGCGCCGCTGCCGGCGATGGCCTCCGCCGAGGCCATGAGGCGATCCAGCTCCACCACGGTCTTGGCCCGGCGGGTGCGCCCGAGGGTGCGCTCATCGGCGGGGGCCCTGTCGGCGCTGCCGTGGTCGACGCTGTCGCGGTCGGCCGCCGCGGCGAGCGCCGCGAAGACGCCGAAGCCACCCGCGGCCGCGGCCAGCTGCGCTGCCAGCCACTGCGACTTAGCGCCGCCGCGGCCATCGGCACGGTCCACGGCCTCACCAAGGCCGCGATCTGCATCTTCGGGGGGCCTCGCCCGTCCTGAGTAGGGGGCCGGATGCGAACCCTACCCCTACCCCCCACGAATTCTCAGGGGGAGGGTCGGGTTCACTTCGCTCGGGAGCTCCCGAACGAAGTGTGAACCCACCTCCCCCTCAGAAATCGTGGGGGGTAGGGATAGGGTTCGCGGGTTCGCATGTGGCCCCCTACTGAGTCTTGCAGCTTTCTCTCACGAGCAGCGAGCGCGTCCGTATCCGCGCCCTCGCGGTCTGGGCTCTGGGGCGCGATCCCACACATGCGCGGTCGTCCACGCACGTTCCGTGGGGGGCATCCGCGAGAAAACGCCCTGGTTCCGCGGGGTAGCGGCCAAGGGGCCTGGCCCGCGAGGCCGTGGGTAAGGACATGCTTTCCGCCTACGATTCCCTTGCATCCGACGAAGGCTCGGCATGGACTTGACGTGGGCTCGACGCGGACTCGGCGTCCGACACGGAGCCGGCGCGGATTCGGCACGGACGGCGGCGGCGAGATGTCGGGCGGAGCAAATTAGGACTAGGGCCTCGTCTGCCCCAACATAAGATGAAGCCAAGACCAGGACAAAAAATCGGACTGGGACAACTGGGGGATCTCTGAAATCCAACAGTTCTGGAGGACGTATCGGGCTCCGCGGCCGTTGCCACAGCGCTCCGAAATGCTCTGAGAGCGTTCTGGAACGCTCTGGGGCGATTTCCCGATCCTAGCTTTTCCCGACATCGCCCCGCCGTCCGTACCGAATCTGCTCCGGATCCGTGTCGTATGTCGGATCCGTTTCGAATCTACGCCGAGTCCGCGCCGAGCCTTTGCCAGATACGAGAGAAAGCAGCAACTCACAGGACAGGCGAGGCCTCGCGAAAATGCAGCGCAACGAAAAACAGGGCACGCACAACGGCCTGTCAGGGTCCTGTCTTCAAGCGCTCCCGCAGTGCTCCCGAGGTACCCCTCCCGATCCTACGAGGGTCATTCGGCGGAGGTGCTCCCAGAGTAGCCTGGGACTGCCCAGAGAGATGCCGCTGGCGCTGAGGAATATTTTTAGGACGTCGGTTCGCGATCGCTTTCACCAGAAAATAATGCCGCCCTATTCTCGGGAGCGGCAAGGGGGGGGGGCCCAAGAGGGGGGGGTGCAAATCATGACCGGCGGCACGTGCGCGACCCAGCCGGGGGGGGCCAGGGACGTAATGAAATGAGAAGAGGCGCCATGAAATCTGGGGAAATATCATGGCCGACGCCATGATATCCCCCCCCCTTGTCATCACCCCCCTCTTGGCCGCCCCCGACATTCTTGGACGTTCTCGGCCAGGCCCTGAAGCCGTGCCCCCCAGGACCGTCAGAAACGACTCGGGATGAAAGGCCAGCCCCGGCAAAAGTTTTGACGTCTCGGGCTCTTGGCGCCACGTGGCCTCCTCCTCCGCCTCCTCCTCCTCCTCGAGCCTTTTCCTCCTCCTCAAGCCTCCTCCTCCTCTTCATCCACTTCCTCCGCCTCCTCCTCCTCCACCGACGGGGCCATGATCATGTTCACCGTGTGTGTGTGTGTGAGTGTATGTATGTTAGTTTCTGTGTGTGTCTGTCTGTGTGAATGTGTGTGTGAATGTGTGTAACTGTGTGTAATTGTGTGTGGATGTGTGTGGATGTATGTGAATGTGTGCGAATGCGTGTATAATGTTTTCCTCCTCTATCGCTCAGCGTTCACCTCCTGGTGGAGGCACACTCCCATGTCTACGAGCATTCTCGCGGCGACCACATCATGCTCAAGCACTACGGCAGCTACTACGGCAACAGCCAATGCTATGCTGTGGGTCCACGGTCAGACAGGGCTCAAAAGTAATGAGTTCGCCTCCTTGCGCCGGCCGCAGGCCAGAGGAGTCAAAGGGGACGAGGAGGAGGAGGAGGAGGAGGAGGAGGAGGAGGAGGAGGAGCCGAGAACGGACAGTGACGGTGTATGTTTGCACCAAACTCCTTTTTATGGTCCCAGCGACCACTTATATAATGAGGCTACACACAACGACCCTATAAAGGATGACGCACAGTGCCTACTCAGTAAGAGCCCATGCGGCGAAGCGGCAGATGGAAAACAACCCCAATCCTAACAAGACGGGGGCGGGAGCGGGAATGGGGGGCGAACAAAGAGGAAACGCGACAGAAAGCCACAACAGCATGGGGAACGCCTGTGGGTAAAAGCGCTTGGGTGCAGACACTCGCCAACTAAAACAAAACATCCGAAAGATGCCGCACAGGCGCTCGAGCGCCCAGCACCGCGCGTGGAAACCATGACGATGACGGCGTCAGGGCGAGCCTGGCGTGAGGCCAGAGGCCAGGGTCAACCAGCAGCGGGCACGGACATGCCCACACGCAGTGCTCATGCACACGGCGCGCTGGAACGCAACCAGTTGGGAGGAGCAGAAGAGGAGGGGAGGAGGCGGACGAACCGACGGCGGACGACGGAGGGGAGGAGGGAGAAGGGGAACGACCTGCAAACAACGGCGCACCCTCGGCCCGGCAGGCTCAAGGGGGCAACCAAATGCTCGCGCCGAGCATCCCGGCCTCCAGCCGCCCAGGTAGCCTGGACCAACATGGTGACGCCAGCCTCAGGACTGCAGCCCGAACCCGTACAGCTCCAGGTCATACTGCTGGTGCCCGTCGAGCAGCCCAAAGTCGTACGGCAGGCGCCCGTAGTGCACGGAGAGGCCAGGAGAACCAGAAACGATCCTGAGGGCAAATCCTGATGGGAGCCTTCAGGTGAGACACGAGCAGACATGGGACACCGAGGACGCACCCAGACCGACCAAACCCAGCCCCGAAGAAGCAGAGACCCAACCGAAACCCAACGACACGATTGAGTGCCCTAGCAATCCTGGGGCTGCACGGCTCTCTGCTGGGGATTGGTGCTGGAGCCACTCGCCGACCTGTGGCTGCGCAGCACTGCTGGGGCTGTGTGCTGCCAGTGTCGTGCTGCAGCAGCCCGTCGTGCCGTACAGAGACGTGCTGCTCCGCCGTGCTGTTCATCGTCATGCTCTCGGAGTCGTGATGATGGCCTCTGTCGTGCTACGCGTAACTCTGCTGCCAAGGTCGCGGGTGTGGCACTCCGCCGTGGTACAGCGTACAGCGTCGGACTGCTGGAATCTGTCGTGCTGCACATCGTCGTACTGCAGCAGTCCGTCGTGTAGCTCAAAGTCGTGCTGCTTGCATTTGTCGTGCTGTGCGCCTGCGGATGCTCGAAACAAGAGCGCTGCACTCCGTCATGCCGTCCACGGGAGGGCTACGGTGCCGCCGTGTAGCTATTCCACGTGCTATCGGCGGTTCAAATGTGTCGATGTGAAGATATGTTTTTCCTCACGCGCAGGCGGGCAAGCAGCGCCCGGTATGTTGCCCTAAACAGCCCCTCCGACCTCTCGTCGGGGCCGCCAGGGCCGAAACGGCTGCGGGAGAGCATAGCAGGAGTCAACTTCAACACTGCTACCTCTCCAGCTCCCTCCTGGGTCCTGCGGGTACTCCGCCCGGTCGACACCGTCGACCGGGCTCACTGTGGGCCAAAGTGGCCGCGACGCACAACACTTAATTACGGCTGTGTCTCTGCGAGCGCCGCTCGCGCAGCGGCACCGCCGCTACTCGGAGGCCGGGCTCCTGGGGACCAAAACGGCCCGGACTCGCATGGCACCGCCATGGTTCGGTGAGCCGCCCTCACTTCGGAGCCGTCGTGTCTGGCGCTTCGGCCGGCTTCCCCCAGGGCGCCGGTCCCTCCTTCGGCGCCCCGTCCTGGTAGTACACCGGGCACTGGTTGCCCCAGTGCCCCTCCTTGAAGCAGAGCCGGCAGATGTTCGGGTTGAGAACTTCGCTGGGAATCGACCCCGGCAGAGGCCCCTTCTTAGACTTGCCGCCCTTGGTGCCCTTGCCCTTCTCGCCCTTCGAGCCCTTCGAGCCCTTGCCCTTCTTACCCGTGTCACCCTTCGAGCCTTTGCCGCCCTTGTGCTCCTCGACGTGCGCCTCCGGCGACGGGCTCCGGGCGCGAGGCGGTCGGCGAGAGCGTCGGCCTGACGACCCGTCGTCGCCCTCCGAGTCTTCCTCCGCCCTGGCGCGCCGCGCCGAGCAGGACCTTTCGTCGTGCTCAACCTCGGCCCGTGCCTTCGCGCCGACCTCTGGCGCGGCACGCTTTTCGTCCGAACTGTACTCCGAATCCGAGTCTGAGTCTCTGGCGCTTGCATCCCGTGCGCTTGCAGCTGGCGGCGGGATGCTGACCATCAGCCTCCGCTGCGCCGCCGCCTGCCAGCACGTCGCTGCCAGCGGGTAAGTCTTGAGCAGGTCCATCACCAGTGTCCAGCGCTTGTACTTCAAGCCGTCCTGGTGCACCACGTTGTTCCAGCGGTACGCTAACTCCTCGGCGCTGTCTTTGCCGGGCACCAGTGCCCCAGGGTACGCCACCCTGAGAAAGTTAGACACCCATAGGCTCCACTCCGAGTTCGGCAGCTGGTCCACCTCCAGCTGCGTGAAGACCATGAAATGGTCAGCCGTCTTCAGCGCCGCGTGCTCCGACGGGTAGGATTCGATACTCTCCCCGTCACCCCCCAGGTGGCGCCGGGTGAAGCACACTGGGCCGCCACCGTCTCCGCACCCCGTGCGTTTCGGGGGCGTCGCCCTTCGCTCGACCCTCGCTGGCTCCGCCGGCTCCGCTGGCTCCGCCGGCGAGCGCCGCCGCTCTTCCCCGCGCCGCGGGGGTTCTTCTCCTTTACCGCGGCTGCGGCTCCGCGTGGTCTGAGCCGTCGGCTCCTCCCCGCGCCGCGGGGCCTCTTTGCCTCGGCGGCCGCTGCGATGCCCCGCGTCGGAGCCGGCACCACTCGCGCCGCGATCCATCGCGTCCGCACGGCCTCCGGCCGCGCCGCGCGCCGGCAATGCACTATCCGCTTGAGCACAAACGGCGGCGCTAGCAACGGAGACGAAAGACGTTGAAATCCCAAGTTGAGTGCCCGCACTCGTGCCAGCACGCAGACCAGCATCAACAAACAGGGTGCGATTTATTTTCTCCGTGTGGACAAATTTACGCAATCGCCCTGGACCCGGGCCAGCAAGGCCGACTGGCGGACGCCGATTTTGACCTGAGGTTTCCCCCGGGGGCCGTTTAACTGTCTGACTCCTCCGGATTGCCTGGGCACTTTCCTCATGGACCCTCGTACGGTTTTGTTCCATGAACTCCCGGACCCGTTCGCTCAATCCCCCTTTTGTGAGCCCGTCCGAAATCATCCACCTGCTCGGGAGCCACCTGAGCCCCGCCTTTTCTTCGTCCCGTTGTGGCCCGCACGAGACCAGAGATTTTAGCGCAGCGAGCCACACAGCATCGTGTCGATCGTCGGGGATGTTCCCTTCGACCTTCACGTGGTCGTACAGACTACGACAGTCGGTGAATAGCGTGAGAGGCATTTCATCCTCACCGTACTCCACGACAGGAGTACCGCTCCAACCGTAGGTTGCCTCACACAGCAACGCCCGCATGTAGTAGGCCATCCCGTGGCCCTCTAGGCACGCCGCCGTCTCCGCCGAGAACGTCGACGTCACCACCCGATGACTGGCTCGGCTTCGCCAGTCCAGGATTGATATCGGCAGCTCGTCCTGCTCCAAGCAGTCGAGGTCGATGGCAGCCACCACCACGCCGGCTTGGGACCTCACCTTATGGCGATCGAACCGTTTGAGGTCCTCGTTTCCCTCAATGAGCTCGCTCACATTCCCATACAGGGACGAGTCGTGCCAACAGCCAACGCCCATCCTCCCTTTAATGGGAGCGATCCGAAGCCGAGCGCCTCCGCTGGCTTTCACGTCTCGAATACACTTGTTGAGTTCTCTCGCGTCGGACCAGGTGGGCGCCTTTTGCAATTTCTGAAACCGGTTTGTCTCGTAGGCTTTGTCGAGACGGTACTGGCTTGCCAGCCAGTGGAGCGACCCCGTCGCTGACTGAAACTCAGCCTTCGCGAGGGGGCTCACTGGGTCCTCACCTTTTGCCTGACGGTCGACCTTCACCTCCTCAAGTCTCCCGTCGACAAACTCTGGCATTCCCACTTCGACGCACGACCCGTCCACTCTGATCCGACGACCGGTGTACACATCTCCCTCGGCCTGCTGCGCGACCACCGTCCAAGACCCGAAAGGAAAACGTTCGCGCAGCCTCGCCTCCTTGGCACGCATCTCGGCGCTGCCGTCGTGGGCTAACATGCAATCGTCCACGTGCACAATGAGCATACCTGCGAGACGATCGCCGCTATAGTAACAGAAGAAAGCTACGTCGAGCTGCAACTGTTTCCACCCCATTTCCTCTACCATGGCCTTGCGGAACGTATTGAACCACGCTCGCGGCGCGTCGGGCAACCCGTATATGCCCTTTTCTATCTTCAGCAGCTGTCCGGGTTCCAACCCCGGCAATCCGCCCCGGGGCTGGCGCATGTACAACGGTTCCTGCCCTTGGCGCGGTTCCCCTTGCAGGAACGCACTGGAAACGTCACCGATGGCCAACTGAGATAGCCACCCCATGTTCGCCGATAGCTGCAGGAAGGCGTGGAACCCAGATCGCTGCACCGTGGGAGCGTCCGTCTTGACTGTTCCGAGCTTCGCGTCGGGATCGTGCTGGCCCTGCACGCACAACCGTGCTTTAGCCTTGAGCGGCAGATCATTTTCGGGCGTCCTTAGGGCGGCATTTTTGTCTTTGAGCTTCATGTCGCTCCCGAGGATCCGACTCCGGCCCACTGTCCGCAACACTTCCTGTGAGGCCTCTGGCTCCAGCACCGACGCGCACTTGTAGCGGAGCCAAGAATCCCACTCCTTCTCCACAGCGGCCTGGAACGCCTCATGATCCTTAGGCGCTATTTCGTCCCACTTAAGCTCGCGATCTTGAGTCTTTCGGTCCAGCAGTGCGGACCCCATCCCGCGGTGATACGCCGTCATCACCTGGTGAGCCTGGTAACTGGCCCCACTCGGGGCCTCGCCCGTCCGCCGCACCGCGGCGGGTCCTTCGACTGTCGCGAGCGTCGGCTCTCGCTGGCGCTTTTTCTCTTCTTCGAACACCACGAGCATGCGATCTGCTGCCGGCCGCAATAGCTCCCTCGGGTTCGTCAGCTGGGCCCACCGGACCCGATGCTCTGTGCAGCGCCACTCGCCGCCGTGTTTCTCGTAAGTCGTCCTGAGCGGCCATTTCTCGAGCGGGAATCGCGCGTCCAGCGTAACTCTGGCCCAGGCCTCACCGAGGCTCCGCACCGGGCAGCCCCGATCACTCACATGCCAGCCTGGCATGGTGATGAAGCGTTCCAGTTCGCGCGGTACGCCCCGAGGCAGTCCGCTGCCTTGGGCCTCGTCTCGGGCCTCCTCCCTGGGGGTGCCCCCGGGCGCAGGAGGGTCCACCTCGACCACTCCCCCGTCCCCAGGGCCTTCCCGCTCCTGCTCGGAGGCTTCCCCCTGAACGAGTCCGTCCGCGGCCGCTAATTCATCCGGTCCGGCATTCAGGCCAGTGAGGTCTTCAAACTCTTCGCGGCTCATAGCCTGTCGAATCTCGTCCAGAAACCGGGCGAGGTCGGCATCCTCCGCCAGGTGTTGCTCCTCTGGGCTCAGAGGCCTCAAGTGTTCTGGCGCAACCAGAAACGGTTTGCCGCCGTACTGAACCCAAACGTTGTCGTTGCGCCTCCCGAACACCAGAGCAGGTCCGCACCACTCCGGCTCGTTGACCCGGCGTCCACGCTCCGTGCGGTAAGGCCGGAAAAAAAACACGCGTTCGCCTTCCTTCCACTCCGCCGGAGTGCCGCGACTCCTCGCGGCCACGGCCCTCCGCACGAGCTCTTGACTGCGCGTCTTGATGAGCGACTGCTGACAGTGCTCACGTATCTTGAGTCGCCGTGCCAGCGGATCGCCCTCTTCGGCCACACATGGGTGATAGCTCACCGCTTTGCCCTCGTGCCAGCACTCGCCGACAAGCTTCATCTTCTGCCCGAAGAGAAGCAGTGATGGGCTGTAGCCGCACTGCCCAGGGAAATGGTTGAAGGCTGACGCAGTTTCCCACGCGAGAGCTTGCATCTCATCGATCCCAGAATACGCTCCGTGCCGGATGTTTTTCTTCATCACGTTCTTTGCCTCCTGGATCTTCCGCTCGACCTTGCCTTTCTGCCAGGGCGCGTACGCCGCGGTAGGGTCGTACGCGGTGCCGCTCCTCGAGAGGGCGTCCACGGAGCTTCCACTGACGAGCCCCCGCTCGTTGTCTGTCACGAACTGATCTGGTGGCCCCGCCCAGCAGAGCCACAAACGCTCGTACTGCCCCCACAGTTCTTCGCTGCTGTGCGCATTGATCAGCCCGATCGTGCAGTACCCCGTCGCCACGTCCTGCACCAACAGGAACCACCAACCTGTTCCGCACTGGTCGGGAATCTTGAACAGGTCTGCTTGCACGACCTCGTTGAAAGACAAGTCGTCCTCTCGAAGTCGTGCGGGCCGCGGGGGCCTCGCTCGCGGGCGTTCCGCACAGCTGGAGCACCGGAGTGCTTTGGCTCCCGCGACCGCCACCTCGGAGCCGCCGGCCTTGGCGACTAACCTAGCCAAATCTTCGGGGTTCGCGTGCCCCGTGTTGAGGTGGAGTCGACGCAGGTTCCGACGTAGCTCCGGCGTCATCCCCTGGGCCAGCGACTTGCCCATCGGAGTGTCTGGAAACTTAAACGTAATCCCCTGAGGGATCGCATTCCCGCTGTCGGTCTCTCCGAGCCCTGTGGGGTAAGATGCTGGTCCTGGTTCGAGTTTCGTCGCGCGCCCCTCGTGCACGCTGCGACCCTGACCTGAAGGCCGCGTTCCCGGGAGCCGTCCGCGCCACCCGATCCTCTCAGGCTCCACGCGCGTCAGATGGCGCTTGAGCCCTCGAAGCACACCGAGCGCTAAAGAGTGTCGCCCAGTGCTTGATGTGGCCTTGTCGTTGACCCCCGAGCGACGCTCGTGCACCACGGAACACTCTCGCCGCAGCACCGCTGCGATCTCAGGGCAGTTCGTCGCCCACCACGCTGGCTGACCCGTGACTCCTCTCACACACAGGCCGCCCTTGACTACCTCAACCGAAGGGAGGGCCTCCACCGCGTGGATGGCTGACTCATTCCTCACCAGGGCGCAACCGCCATTTTCCGCCTGCACCTCGAACACCTTCCGGGTAAACTCCATCAGCGACCGCTGCCGTCGTCGCTCGGCTCGTTGTCGCTGCTGATCGGCATTGCTCTGGTGAGTACCGCGTTGGGCGCCGCCGACTGGGGAGCCAGGGAGCTCCACCACAGCCAACCTCGGTCGCACATCGCTCAACATTCCCAAGGCCTCCGCCTGCTCGGACTCCTGTGCGAGGTCGGCTCCGCATTTCGCGTCCCAAGGACGGAGACACCACCAACCATTCTTGGATCCGATGCGACTGACGTCACTGCCGCCTCCGAAGAACTCGACCACGTCCACGCGGTCCGTACCCCAACGGTGACGGGCCCACTGCCCGCCGCCAGTTTCCTCGAGCCAGGTCCCGAAGGTGGCTACCCCAAGCAACCATGCCGAGGCGATGCCCAGGCATGCCTTGCGCACTGCCGTCGCCGTGGGGCCCTTCAAACGTCGGTTTCGGGCGCTGCCGCGCCCTTGCTTCCCGCCGCCGGCAGCCTGCGTGCTCGCATGGCTGCCAGCACCGGGCGCGTCCCCCGCGCGGCCGCTGAACCGCTCGACGGCTCGGCAGGCCCAGTGCCGGAGTCCACCTCCATACTCTCTTCCGTCTTCACTCCGGTTGACTCCCTCTTCTGGGCACGACTCATCTTGCTCGAGCCCTCCAGTGCCTCCGTTGGGGTCCATTCGGCCTCCGCTTGGCCTTCGCTCACGAACAGCCTGACGTCTCGGATGAGTTCTTCCCGTCTTTTGTCGGCGCCGTTCGACCGTGTCAGCGGTATCTGCCGCACCGCGGCCTCCTCCTGCAGCTGCGCCAACTTCACATTGGTGAGGCCCGTCGGTAAGGTTGTTCGAGGGTCGTCTTTCTCCACTTCCGACGCTTGGATCTCGTCCTTCTTTTCTCGAAGCACGAGCCTCAATTGACCAACGGTCTCTGCCTCCGCGCGGGCCCTCTGCCAGCCGAGTCGCTGCATGGCCAGCGTCACCAGCTCTGCCTTCCGCATCTCCCAGATGCTTCGAGGGGTGTCCTCCCTCTGGCGGAGGGTGAGGACCTCCCGCTCCAGGTAATCCACCAACAACTCCTGATACCAGGCCCTCCATGCCATGAGTACCAACCGAGTTGCCACACTAGCCCTCGCAGCTCCGCTGCGACACTGCACGACCGTCGGGCGCCATGGCGGCATCTGCCCGCGCGCGCGTCCCACGGCCACCGAAGATGGCGCTTGCTCGTGCTCGCCGTACGGGTCTTAAACCGACAGGGGCTGCGGTCGATTCGATCGCTGCCGCTTCGTCGTCGTCGTCGTCGTGGTCGTCGTCGTCTGGCCGGCCGTCCGTGTAAAGCGCACGGCGCACGGCCTCGTACGGGGATCCGCGGACGCGCCCATACAGCGCGATCTCAGCCCCGGCCCGGCAGCGGCTCACGGCTTCCTGTGCGCCCGCTCCTGGCCCCCCAGGTCCGTAACTGACAGCAGCCATGGCCAGGTGCCCCGACGGCAGCTCCCTGAGCTTGTGCCTGGCCTTGCTGAGGGCACCGAGTGTGATCTCGGCCTCCTTCATGTGGATATGGGCCTCCAGGGCCTTCAGGGCTCCGCCCGAGATCAATGGCGGAACGTCCTCTTCCACCAAGCTGATCCTAATCACGGCCCCCTTGCCGTCCCATTCCATGGGCAACAGCAACGCTTGGGAGCTGTAGATCGTCTTCCCCGGTCCGAACCGGTAAGGATCGCGCTCGGTGACTGTCTCGAGCTCGATGCCCCAGTTCTTCCTAACGTAGACGGCCAAGCGCCGGTACCACCGGAGCCCCGCCACGGACTTAGCACACGCCGTGTCCACAACGATCAGCCACACAGCGTCGCCCGTTTCTGCGACTAGTACGGACATCGGATGTCCCGCGGCGGCTTGGAGGTTGGAAGAAGGAGGGGAGAGACATAGGGGAAAGGCCTCCTCTTCCTCCTCGCTCCTGAAGCGCGTTATCTTCACGCCATTGTCGACTTCGCCCGGGCAGTTTCCTTCGCACCGGCATTCAACTTCGCACCGCAACTCCTGCGCACCGGCCGCACCTCCATTCACATTCGCACCGGCATTCCCCTTCGCACCGGCATTCCCTTTTCCGTCTTTGTTGGCGCCGCCGACCTCGATGGATGAGCCTCCTGTTCCTCCGAGGTGAAAGGAGGGAGGGAGAAGAAGTGAGAGAGGTTTTTGAGACTCAAGTACGACACCATCCAGGTGCGCCGGCTCCGCCGGTTCTTTCTCCCGCTCCGCGGGCTCTTCAGCGCGGGCCACGACCCACGTGCCCTTGCCTTCCGCACCGGCCGCCTTACCAGCCGTGCTAGCCTTCCCCGGGGCCCGAGGGCACTCAGGGTCGTCCTTCCAGTGGCCCAGCCTGCCACATCGCTTACACGGGAGCGTCAGCTTGAGCTTCCGGATGCGCTCGGAATCGGCGCCTCGGCCTCCGCTGGCCCTGCCGCCAGGTCCACGGTAGAAGTCGCGCGCCTTCTCAGCCTCGGCGCGCGCCTTCTTAGCCTGCGTCATGAGCACCTCGTTTTCCGTGAGGTACGCCTGGAGCTCCTCAGGGACCAACTCGTTCTCCGCGATATTCGGGTCCACGCCAGCGTCGACCTCCGAGTCCGTCTCCTCGTCGTCGTCGTCCTCCTCGGCGGACGTGCCGGGGCCCTCGGCCTCGGCGCCTTCGCGTTCAGCCTCGGCTTCGGCGTTTTCGGTAGCGTGGACCTTTCGGGCGCCGCCCCTGCCTAAGGGTTTACCGAGCCTCCGGCGATTCCTGTTCAGGTACTCGCGGTTGGCTCCGTTGAACGGCGCCGCCGCCCGATTCCTCAGCATAGACACCCGCGGAATGCAAGCTTTAGCCGAGTCGCGAAGTTTCTCGTAGACCAGCTCGTTGCCAGCACCAGTGATGATCTGGCTCTCCTTGTCGCCGCCCACGCGCAGTTTCTTCAGGAAGTAGTGGGCTTTCAAGTGCTTGTTGAGCGGCTCCTCCATCGCCTCCTCGAGTTCGCGCACCTTGGCCTCGTACCGCGTCTCGAAGTCCATGATCTCCTCGCCAGCGTTCCGGCTGACCTTCTCCACGAACTCATCTACGAGCGTGCCGACCTTCAGCGTCTCCTGTTGGTCGTACTTCTCATGGAGATAGCGCAACAGCACCCGGACGCCGTCCGGCCTAGCGAGGGTCTCAGGGTCGAGGTTCTCTGTTTTGGCTTCAGCGTCACCTTTGAGCCTCGAGAGAAGCCGCCCGCCCCGACGCTCGGGCAGGATGGCCGTGTTCAGCTCGAAGATCTTCACGCGCCGCTCGTACGTCCTTAGAGGCACGGCTTTCCCGTCCCATTCGGGCACGAACTTGTCGTCGCCGCGCTCCTGTCCAGAGGGCCCGCTGCCCTCGTACCTAACGGACCCGCAGTAGCCGCCAGACCCTGGTTGCCAACTGCTTTGCCCCCACTCCTCAGACCAGGGGCAATCCTGCCAGTACCAGCCTGTGCTGGTCCCTGGCGACGTCGGTCCTGGCTGACAGCCGCGCTGCCCCCACTCCTCAGACCAGGGGCGGCCTTGCCAAGACCAGCCCTCGTAAGCACGCTGCCCGCCACCTCCCAACCCTCCGGAGGTGTAGCGTGCGTCCCGGGCGTCGGGCTCTGGTCGAGTGCCCTGCCCACTCATCCAGCCCCAGCCGCCACTGCGGCTCTCGCTGCTTTCCCAGCGCTGCGGGGTCCACCAAGGGACGTCGTCCCCCCAAGGGGCGCCGCCCCACCAACTGGATCCCCACGATCCGTCCCCACCCGCTCCGCGGGCTTCGGAGGCGCCGCCTCCCGAAGGAGCTTCTGGCTCGGCGCGCCGCGCCGTTGCCCCTGGGGCTGCCGCCCAAGGGTCCCAGTCATCAAACCACTGCTGCGTGGTGTCGTCACCCGCCGCAGCCGCGGCGGCCGCTCCCTGCGCCGCAGGGGCCGCGCCCTGCTCCGCAGGGGCACCCATAGTAGCCTCAAACTCCATCCCACACCGTGGGCAACCACACCGTGGCTACACCCGTCGCGACCCCCGCGACGGACACCGTGCCGTGGATCGAACCCGCTCGACAGTAGCTCCGCTACCAATGTCGATGTGAAGATATGTTTTTCCTCACGCGCAGGCGGGCAAGCAGCGCCCGGTATGTTGCCCTAAACAGCCCCTCCGACCTCTCGTCGGGGCCGCCAGGGCCGAAACGGCTGCGGGAGAGCATAGCAGGAGTCAACTTCAACAAAATGCATTGCTGGGGTCTGCCGCGCGTGGGTGGTGCAGGAGTCGGGGCAAAAGTTGGGGCCGGTGTCGTGCTGGATGTAAGGGTACGTCCGGGGGCTGGACGCCTGCGGTGCTGTGCGTCGCGTGTGGTGTGGGGCCGGGCAGTGCTGGTCAACGAGTCGGTCGGGTCAGTGGTCAGTGGGTAGTGGGGCGGAGGAGGGCCAGAGATGTGCTGCTGTTCCCCATTACGCTGCCGGCGCCAGGGCACTGATGGATGTCACGGCCAAGTCGACGAGAATGGCGCCAACAAAGTGTGGCCCTTGGTTCGTGGCGGAGGAAGAAGGGGAAAATAAACTGGTGGTGGCCGAGGCGGCATAGTTGCCGGTGGTGGGCTGGGGGTCGGTGCTGGCGTCCGCGCTGGCGTTGGTGCTGGCGCAGGCGCCAGCGTTCGTGCTGACGTCATTGCTGGTGTTGGCGCTGGTGTAGGGGCGCTGGCGTCGGCGCCAGCGCAATCCCAACGTTCATGCTGGCGTCGGTGCTGGCGTCGGCGCTGACGTAGGCACCGGCGTTTGTGCTGGCGTCGGTGCTGGCGTCGGTGCTGGTGTAGGCGCCGGCGTTTGTACCGGCGTAGGCGCCGGCGTCGGTGCTGGCGTAGGGGTTGACGTCGGAGCTGGTGTAGGCGTTTGTGTTGGCGCTGGCATAGGCGCAGACGTTGATGCTGGCGTCGGTGCTGGCGTCAGCGCTGGCGTAGGCGCCGGCGTTTGTGCTGGCGTCGGTGATGGCATCGGTGCTGGCGTCGGCGCTGGCGTTGGTGCCGGTTTAGGCGCCGGCGTTCGTGCTGGCGTCAATGCTGACGTCGGCTCTGGTGTAGGCGCTGGCGTTGGTGCCGGCGAAATCGCAGGCGTGCATGCTGGCGACGGTGCTGGTGTATATTGGTGCTGGCGTTGACGCTTGCGTAGGGGCTGATGTCGGTGCTGGTGTAGGCGCTGGTGCTGGAGCCGGCGCAGGTGCAGACGTTCATGCTGGCGTCGGTGTTTGCGTAAGCGCTGGCGTTGGGCCTGGCGTCGGCGGTGCGCGCTGGTTAGCTGGGCAACTCACCGGTGTGCTATCGCTACGGCTCAGTAGGAACTTGGGGCTGGTGTTGGGACTGGCTCTGGAGCCAGGGCTGGCTTCGACGCTGCTCTGCTCCGTGGTGCTGGATGTCGGCATGGTGGGCGACGCCGTCGTGAAAAACACTGTGGGACTGCTCGACTCCGTGGTGGTAAATGCCGACATGGTGCACGACGCCGTCGTGGTGGGCACCGTGGTAAAGCACGACTCCGTGGTGCTGCTCGTCTCCGTAAGGCTGGGTGCCGAGGTTGTGCACGACTCCGTCGTCGTGACTGCCACCGTGGTACCGCTCAACTCAGTGGTATACCCCGTGGTGCTGCTCGCCTCCGTGGTACTGCTCGACTCCGTCGTGCTGGATGCCGGCATGGCGCACGACGCCGTCGTGGTGTACACCGTAATGCTGGTCGACTCCATGGTGCTGTTCGCCTCCGTAATGCTGGACACCGACGTGGTGTACGACTCCGTGGTGATTGACACCGTGGTACCGCTCGACTCCGTGGTACTGCTTGACTCCGCAGTGGTGACGGATGCAGGCATGGTCCACGGCGCCGTCGTGGTGGACACGGTGGTACTGCTCGACTCCGGAGTGTTGGATGCCGATGTGGTGCACGACGCTTACGGAGTGGACACCGTGGTACCGCTGACTCCGTGGTACTGGTCGACTCAGTAGTGCTGGATGCCGACATGGTGCACGACTCCGTCGTGATATACACCGTGGTGCTGCTCGCCTCCGTGGTACTGCTTGCCTCCGTCGTGCTGGATGTCAGCATGGCGCATGACGCCTTCGTGGTGGACACCGTGGTACTGCTCGACTCCGTGCGGCTGCACGACTCCGTAGTGCTGGACACCGACGTGATGCACGATTCCGTCGTGATGGACACCGTGGTGCTCCTCGACCCCGTGGTACTGGTCGATTCCGTAGTGCTGGATGCCGACATGGTGCACGACGCCGACGTGGTGGTCGCCATGGTACTGCTCGACACCGCGGTACTCGTCAGAATTTCCGCGGGGGCTGGCCTCGAGGCGACTGCCGGAATACAGCGCGAAGATGTGGAGCATGGACACACACACACGACCCCAAACCGCTGCATAGCTGCCGTCGTACTGCTGCTCGGCGCCATGCGGGCCAAAGCGGCCACGCAACCGAGAATATATCAACGCACCCCAAGAAAACGTATGGGAACTGAACTGTGGTGCTCGTACTGGAAGTTATGGTGGAACTGCTACTGAAAGGTGTGATTGTAGGCACGGTGGAGGTGATAGTGGCCATTGATACAAAGAACAGTCATGGTGGAAAAGGTGAGCACGCTCACTCTGAGCCCCTTCGTGTTGTACTCCAACGTGGTGCACTGGCGCTGGTGCCCGCGTCGCAGGCGATGATGCTGGCGTCGGTGCTGGCGTCGGCGCTGGCGTAGGCGCTGGTGCTGGTGCTGGTGCTAGACACATTAGCACACATTCACACACACATTTATGTGTGAATGTGTGTGAATGTGTGCTAATGTGTGTTGAATGTGTGTGTTGTGTATTGTGTGTTGCGTGTGTGTTGTGTGTGTTGTGTTGTGTTCTGTTGTCTGTGTGTGTTTTGTGTGCGTTGTGATGTGTTGTGGTGTGTTGTGTTGTGCTGTGTTGTGTTGTTTTGTATTGTGATGTGTTGTCTGGTGTGGTGTGGTGTGGTGCGGTGTGGTGTGGTGTGGCGTGGTGCGGTCGGGTGGGATGTGGGTGTGGACGTGGGTGTGGGGTGGGGGTGGGGGTAGGGGTGGGGGTACGAGTGCGGGTGCGGGTGCGGGTGCGGGTGCGTGCGTGCATTCGTGCGTGCGTGCATAATTAGGTGTGTGCAGGTGTGTGCGTAGGTGTGTGTGTGTGTGTGCGTAGGTGTGTGTGTGTGTGTGTGTGTGTGCATGTGTGCATGTGTGCGTGCGTGTGTGCGTGCGTGCGTGCGTGCGTGTGTGTGTGTGTGTGTCTGTGTGTGTGTGTGAGTGTGGGTGCGTGGTCTCCGGCCGCGGCCCCGCGATCAGGCGGCGACTTCGCTGCCACCGCCACGCGTGGTACAAATACGGGGGGTACGGACACAACATGGCGTCCCAGGCCGCAGCGTGCGGTATCTTTTCGAGCAACCCAAGGGCCTTCCCCAAGAGCTCTTCATCCCGAGTCGCTTCCTGAGCGCCCCCGGGAAGCCAAAAACGGAGAACAAAACCTCGCGGCCCGCTTCCCTCAGGACCCGCTTCCTTCATGGCTGCGCGAGGCGAGGGAGCACTTCGGGAGCACTCCGCCAAACCGCCCGAAGACCAGACCCCGGGCTGGCGCCGTGCGCGGCTCGCCCTCCCACGCCGGCCGCCTCCAGGCCGACCTCCCAGGGCGCCAGTGCCATATTGACCTTGCCTATGCAGCACGGCGAGACGGCGAAGGGAACGGCGGCGCGCGCCGCCAGTCGGATGGCTTGGAGGCGGCTGGGGGGTCTGAAAACTGGGTGGGCCCGAGAGACTCTGTCCAGAAGGGGGGGAGGAGAGCCCGCTCAAAATCGGTGCCCGGAGGACTCTGGGGGTCCATCTGGTGTAGTTGTTCACCCTGGATGCGTTTGGGACGGTCCCGGGGCTCGAGAACGGCCCCTGAAGGTGGAAAAAACAGCGAATCTTCTCTGGCCCCGAACCTCGAACCTCGCACCCCCTTCCTGCTAGCCAAAACCACTGCTGGGCCATCTCAGACCCCAGCCAGCTCCAAACGGATGGCCGCGTCGCTCGCGCCCCCGCACGCGTGCAGCGCCAGCACGGCGACCAGCGCCCCGGCCGCAGCGCCGCGGTCAGCCGCCTGGCCGCTGCCGTCTCGAGGGGGGTCGTACGCATCGATGTCCACGGCCAGCGCGCTGACGTTCGTCAGCCCAGCCGTGGCGGCGCGTTTCCTGACGAGCGCCACTGCCGCGGGCTTGAAATCGAGCCCGAGGAAGTCGGTTGCGTGATCTCCGACCCCGAACCGAACCTCCGGGTCGATTCGGGAAATCACTGCGGAGATCGTGGCGGCCACAAGTCCGGCCAAGGTTTTTGTCAAGGAGTGGCATACCCATTCCCAGTTCCTCCCCCCCCGCTCTGCGATGTAGGCGTGGCTCACAATTACGACAGAGAGTTGCCAACACATGGTCCAACATGGGCAGTCATGTTTTTGATGGTTAGGGGTCAGTCATCACGCAACCAGAAGTGGAAGCCTGGGAACCTGAACGCCAGCGGGAGCAGCAAGTTTCCCGACCCGCACCCCGCGTCCACCACAGTGCCTCCCCCGGGGGCGCCGTGCAGCAGCGCCTCCAGGACGCACGCAAACTCGGTGGCCTGCTCGCGCTTGCGCGCGCCGCGCATGCTGCCGCCGGCCATCTTCCTCGCGGAGCGCTGCGGGTCGCACTCCGCGGGCATGCTCTCCCACGCCATCCCGGCGGACGCGGACGCCCACATCGCCTAGGGAGCCCACAGAGGACGTGCGCGCCCAATCACGTACATGGAAACACGGCCCCCCAGTCCGCAAGGCCAGCCGCGTGATACGAACGCTCGCGCAATGCGTACTCTTGAGACCAACGTGGATCCGTCTACGTGTACGCCTCTCCTTCGCTACGGATCTCCTCGGGGAGCCGCCAGTGGCAGCCGTCCAGCCAGCTCGCCTCGGGGGCGGCGGCCCGTGCCAGCTCCAGCTCCGCGGGAGGCGCCAGCGACCGGAGCGCCGCGTCGACGGCCTCGTCGCGCTCTGGCCGCGGAGCGCGGCGGAAGCGCCACTGCGGTCTCATGTCCGCCTTCTGTGGCAACCAATGGGGGCCTCCCATGTCGTCTGGCCGGCTCTTGCGGATTGACGCTGGTCGACGCTAAATCAGCGTCAATCGGCACTTGAGTCGGCGTTGCAGTCGATGCAACATCGGCGCGTGCCCATCGACTGCCAGACGCGAGCGCACGCTAAGGCGCTCCGAGGACGGAGTTGCGAGGGCATATAGACAGCGTGCTAGCATAAGGCCCAAAATAAGGAACGGAGAGGCGCTCCTGAAAACGGCGAGCTTCAGCCGCGGTTCCACGACCCAGGTCTCAGGAACGGCCCCGAAAAAGCGGAGCCCCTGCTGAGCCCAAAGTGTCCCTTGCTTCAGCGTCTTGACTGCACAAGGCACCCAAGCTCCTCCCGCGGTGAGTGCTGTCCTCTCCCTCCTGTCCTCTGCGGCCGCCTCTCCCTGCCTTGTGCTTTGCGCGCAGCCGGCCAACTAGCCTGCCGAGCGCCCCCCGCAACTCGAACGCGCGAGCGGATCGCCTCTGCCTCGCCGCGGCGAAAAAAAACTGCACGAGCCCCGCGAGTGGCTGCCGAGCCTGCCTTCCGCCGCGGGCGCGGCTGGCTCGGGTCGCACGGCGGGGGCGGGCTCTGCGGCGGCTCCTCGACGAAGAGCGGGCGGTCACCGCAGCCGGGCAGCACCCTGCCGCCCTCCATGCTGGCGCGGAAGGCATCGGCCGCCGCGGCGTCCGCGAAGCGCAAGGCCGCTGTGCCTTCGCGCTTCGGATGCCCAAGCTGCGACCGTGTATGTGTCGCAGCGTCGCTTGTTCTCAACGCGGCCAGCGGCAGAGACGACTCCGACACCACGGCAAACCCACGGCAAACCCTGCGTCCCGCGCCCTAGTAGAGGACTCTGGCACCGCGGCAAGCCAACGGCAAACCAACCGCGCCCGCGACGTTTGCCCCCGGTGCCCACGGACCCCTCCCCAAGACGCAAGGCCACGCGTCAGAACAAGCGACGCGGCGACATGTACACGATAAGAAGTGGTCTTTCATATGACAGCTTGGAGAACCGTTTCAGGATGTTCGAACTCGCACGCCAGTGAAAATATGCATACATCACACTCATCTCTGCACGAAGACGTCTCGCTGTCACGCCCGAGAAGCGTGACCGCTTTTACGGGCCTGAGTAATAGAGCCCGCCTCCCGACGGACTGCGAAAGGACCTGTTGCGGGCCTGAGTAAGAGAGCCCGCCTCCCGACGGACTGCGAAAGGAGCTCCCGCGGTCACCCCCGTTATCAGGGCAACATGATCCGGAATCCCGCAACGAGACATCGAGGCGCAGGTCTTGTGGACGATATCTGAACTTCCCAGGGTGCCCCAGGGCTTCTGCGGGCTCCCAGGGCCATCGGGTGATAAGAGATTGCCGTGGTGGGGCACCTGCTGGCGCGCTGGCTTCTTGCTTCTCGCACCTACGGTGCACGAGGTGCTGCCAGGGGAGGGCCCGGGCCCGCCCCCCAGCTCCTCGTTCCGTTCCGAAGCCCCCTGGGATCAGCTCTGGGCCTCGTCGAGGGGTGCTCTGCAAGCCAACCTCGGCGCCACCTCTTCGCAACACCCGGCTGTCCACCACCGAGCCCCGAGGCAGGCAGCGGAGTTTCCTCGGGCCCCTGAGAACCCGATGTGCTGAGCACTGAACAGCGCAGGTGCTGTGCAGGGGCCCACGGGCCCACATTTCCGGATTTCCCAGGGCCGCCCGCGTGGCTTCTGGGGGCGGCTCGCAGGAGTTTCCCGAGAGGGTGTGCGGAGCATGGCTGAGAGCCCATACCTCCAAAATGGCCAAAGATGGTTTCAGGGCCCGTCCTAGAGCCCCATGTTGCGCAGCTTGGTTCGCTCTGGGAGCTCTGGTCGGCCAAGGAGGCCAAAGTGAACGAACCAAGGTATGCGTTTCGGTGATTTCGACAACGTCTGTTTTCTGTTTCAAAAAACCGCCAAAGACGGCCCAATAGTCCCCGAAGATCGACCCGAGACAGCCCCCAAGGCCCGAATAGGCCCCAAGAAGCCCCCCACACGGCTCAAAGAGGGGCAGTGCCCTGATGGCCGCCGAGACTGCCAAGAGACCACCAAGAGGCCCCGACGAAGCTCCAAGAGGCCTCGAAGAAGCCCGCAAGAGGCCTCCGAGAGATTAGAAGAGCCCTCTTTTCCACGACCCAGACACGGTGGCGGGATAGGCCAAAGGCCTCTAGGTTGAAAGCGGTTCAGACTCTGGATCTTACGTAATTGCCCCTTCGGCCCTACCCCCCATGTCTTCCGAAAAGTTGCTGATGCTCTTGTCCTGCGGGATGGGACAAACACGGCATGCGTTTGGGACAAACACGGAGTGCGCTCAGACGGAGATGTGGAACAGTTCTCGTGCTCGACACAAGGTTGTGGGCCCCCCCCCGCCACAGGAGAAGCACAGAGGGCATTCAGGAAATCCTGCGGGGTGGCCCACGGGACGAACATGTGTGCACGTTCAGAAGGAGCACTCTAGCAGCTTGGACTCCCGCGGCCTTCGTGCAGCTTCATCCGATTGTTCTTGACATGCTTGATGGGCCCACCGGGCAATTCCACAATGGCAGGGGGCTCCAGAAGCCTGCCCGAACCCACAAGGGCGGCGTCAATGCTTTCCAGCAGGAGCGGGGAAGGTATATCCCATGGGAGATTGCGCAAAAAGATCGTCGCCGTCATCTGTAGTATGTCAAATCATCGTGCACCGAAGCCTTGAGCAACAATGGCTACGGACAGGTACCCTACCACGAACTACGCTTGTCAACATCGTTCGGTGAGAAAAGGAATCGATCACCCATGCGCATGTCTGCGAAACAAATCGCGCGCGTTCGCTCAGGTTCTATATGCCTCCGAGGCAGTGAGAACGTAAAAACGCATCCGACCGATCCAATGAGGGGACGAGACGAGACAATGAAACGGGGGCTCGAAGGCCCAGAAAAGGTAAGAGATGGTGATCCTCGTCCTCTTCCTCATCATCCTGATCCTACTCCTCGTCCTTATCCTTAAAGCTACACGGTCGCAATACCCGTAACACAGTCACGCGATGTCCTTCTTTTCCTCCTCCTCCTCCTCGTCCTTCTCCTCCTCCTCCTCCTCCTCCTCCTCCTCCTCCACACCCTCGCTCTGCTTATTTTTCTTCGATTTCTTCTTCACAATATTGTTAATATATTATTATTCTTCATCATCATAAGAAGCATCGTCATCCTCCTCCTCCTCATCATCATCATCTTTATCCTCCTTCTCTTCTTCCTCCCTCCTCCTCCTCCTCCTTCTCCTCCTTCTCCTCCTCCTCCTCCTCCTCCGCCTCATCCTCCTCTCTCCTCCTCCTCTTCCTCCTCCTCCTCCACTTCATCCTGCTCATCCTCGTCATCATCATCATCATCATCATCATCATCATCATCATCATCATCATCATCATCATCATCAACCTCATCAGCATCATCATCGTCATCATCAGCAGCATCAGCAGCATCATCATCAGCATCATCATCAGTATCATCATAGTCATCGTCATCATGGCCTTCATCATCACAATCATCCTTAGCATCATCATCATCCTCATCATCAACAGCATCAGCATCATCGTCATCATCATCGACCCAATCCTCATCACCAACTCATCATCATCATCATCATCATCACCATCAGCAGCAGCAGCATCATCGCCATCATCACCATCATCATCATCAGCAGCAGCAGCATCATCATCAGCAGCAGCCTCATCGCCATCAAATTCACCATCATAATCGTGAGACATATATTGCTCGAACCACGCGCGCGCTTCGCGCGCGCTTAGGTTTAGTCGACTCCGAAGAGAGTACCAATATCCATGGGACCTGCTCTGAGGTATCTTCCAGGTGGATCCCGCTTACGCTTGTCAGTGGTCTGGTGGGTGGTTCGTCCTACCTCCTCATGCTGTCGTTTTGTTCGGCCTCGTCCTTGTCCTCGCCCTCATCTTCGTCGTCCTCCTCCTCCTCCGTCATCACCTCTTCCTCCTCCCTTTCCTCCTCCTCGTCCGCCTCAGCTTCGTCTTCCTCCTCCCCTCAGATGTTTTCTCCGCGTGACTAGGTTTCGCAAAAGTGCAACGCTTTACAAAACAATCGATCTCGCTACCGACCCTCCTGGGCAACTGCTGGAACGCGTTGCATCCGGGAACGTTGTGGACCTCGCAGGAAAACCCTTCAGGTGGCTCCCGGGGCTACGGTGAGCAAGTGCGACGCCGTCGCGAGGCCTCGGAGGCCCATCGGGAGCGAGACGGCGTCATGTAGAAAAGTTTTGCGGTTTTCCTTACGTTTTCGGGGAATCTTGAGCTCCCCGCGGCCAGGGGAGCGCATCGGGTCACCCTGGGGAGGACGCGGAGGTGTCAACCTTGAACGGCCCGCCGCTCCAGCACTGGCTGAGCAGCACTGCGGGCACGGCAGCATGCACGTGCAACGGTATTGTACGCAAGGGTCGGCATATACGAGGGGCCCCTGGCACTTTCAAAAACACACGAATAGTGGGCGGGGGGGGGCCACTCAGAAAACCTCCTCGCGCGCGTCCCTCCTCGTCCTCTGCCCTGCCCCCCCGAACGCAAAGCACGTATCACGGCCGTCCTTCCACAGTTTAAAACCTCTCGTCGTCCCTTTGCAGGCCGCCCAATCGACGCTCGCCGTTTGGAATCTCTCGTCGAACGCGCTGCTCTGGGGGGGGGGCCTTTATGTGCTTTGCGCCCGTGCCCTGGCGTCGGGTCCCAGGCTCGGGGGGGTGCCTAAGAGATTAGCGCGACCCCGAGGTGGCTCACCTCTACAATTACCAGCGCTGGCATGCCACCCGGGGGTCCTACACCCACTGAGAAATAAGGTGGGGGGACGCCCCGCGCGACCCTAATGAGGGGCGTACCTCCTCGTCCTCCTCAATCTTGGATGCGTGCGCGTGCTACGTGGGACGACCTGCGTTGTCTCGCTCCTGGAGGGTGAGGTCTCCTCCTCGTCCTTCTCCCCCGTCCTTCGTCCGTTGCGTCCTTCCCGCCCCTCCTTGTCATGCATAATGCTCGGCATCCCCATCCCTGTTGGAATGGCTCGTACCCTCCCTAATTCGAATCCTCCTCCTCCTCCTCCTCCTCATCCTCCTTCCTCTCCTCCTCCTCCTCCTCCTCCTCCTCCTCCTCCTCCTCCTCCTCCTCCTCCCTCTCCTCTTACTGCTCCTCCGCCTTCTTCCCCCTCCTCCGATGTCCGAGCAACATCCAGCATCAGTGGCAGTTAGGGCTTCCAGAGACTCCCCCTCTTTCCTTTTCCGCGCGCCCGCTGACAATTCCTCTCTCTTCCCTCCCCCTCTTGGTCTTCCCTTTCCTCCTCCCCTTGTCCTTCGCCCGTTGCGCTTTCAGCCCCTCCCTTTTCACGCATGATGCTCGGCATCCCCGTCCCCGTACAAATGCCCCTTCCCCTTACGAATGCGAATGCTCCTCCTCCTCCTCCTCCTCCTCCTCCTCCTCCTCCTCCTCCTCCTCCTCCTCCTCCTCCTCCTCCTCCTCATGCTGTTCCTCGTCCTCCTCGTCCTCGTCTCATGTTTCCCCCTCCCCCTTTCTAGGGCACTAACCCGAAGGCACCAACTGCCAGCGAAGGCGAATCGCAGCAGGCAAAGCACGCGTCACTTGGGAGTGTCGATGGCGAAAAACGCGTTCGACACCCGGTTTCCCCAAGAAGGGTGGGCCGATTCCGAATCGATGTTCCTGGGAACCTCTCAGGCAATATCGCGTAGGAAATGTACGTGAGGCCCCAATGGCGCTCTCAGGGGTGTCGAAGGAGGCCTCCATCTCGGAACCGATGTCTCCGGAAACAGCTGTGGAAACATCATTTAGGGTGTAGCCGCGTGGCCTCTGACAGGGTTCTCTGGGCCTCTTGGAAGCCTCAGGAGCCTTCGGCTCGTACTGCCACCGTGCCAGGATTGTGGCCAGAGGCGTGTCACACCTGTTTGCAGATCGTGGCGTGCTGCTCGGGTGCCTCTTGGTGGAGCAAGGTTTTCAAGCCCCTCGGGGTTTCCTGGGGGCCACTTGGGGGCCTCTTCTGGCTCTTGTTGGTGTCCTCTTGGGCCCCTGGTGTGACCTGTTGGGGCCATCTTTGGCCCATCTCGGGACCTCTTCGGCTCCTAAGGTCACCTAAGAGCCTTCTTGGGCCATCTCGGGCGCGCGCAGGGCATCTTGCGCTATCTTGGGGCCCTCTTGGGCCGCCTAGGGCTCCTCCAGAAGCTCTGGGGGGGCACGTTCGGGGCCGTGGCGGCCTGCTTTCCTCGTGCTGGGTACGTTCTGAATCTCTCTTGGATGCCTCCTGGCCGTTTTGTGTAGCGCTCTCGGGGCGCTCTTGGGCCGGTTTGGACGCTAGGGACAGATGTAGAAGGTGTCTCGGGGCGGTCGTCGGAGCTTCCTGGGCCGAATTGGATCACAGGAAGCTCTAGGAGGGGAGAACATCGAAACCCTTCTGAAACCGAGCGAAAATGAAAATCAAAGAAGTTGGCCTCGCGTGGCCCTCTAGGGAGCCATCAGGGACCGTGAAATCAATGGGCCACAATTTAGTTTGCAACACTTCTGTTCAAACGTAAGCGTCTTGGGAGCATCTTGGAGGCAGTTTTTGGAGCCTCTTGGGTAGCGTCTCGGATGCATCTTGGAAGCCTCTCGGGGGCGTATTCGAGGCAGTTGTTGGGCGTCTTGAGAGCCTCCTGGGGGCCTCTTGGGGGGCCTCTTGGGGTACTCTTGGGGGTCTCTTGGGGCCTCTTGGGACCTCTTGGGGCCTCTTGGGGCCACGTCAGGGCCTCTCGGGGCCTCCTGGGGGCATCCTGGGGGCCTCCTGGAGCCGAAGGCTCGAAATTTAAACTTGGCTTTCCCGCTCTGGGAACCCTGTTTGGCCCGTCCTGGGGCTCTCTTGGGCCGTCCAGGAGGCCTCTTGAGCCGTCTTGGGCACTTCTTGGGCCGTCTTGGAGCCCTCTTGGGGGCCTCATAGGCCGTCTTGGGAGCCTCTTGGGCCGTCGTGGACGCTGTGACAACCCAAGAGGCAAATATGCTAAACATATACGTTTTCCGAAGGGAATGGGACGATTTGTGCTTCTTAGGGCCATCTTGGCGGCCTCTTGGGGGCCTTTTGGGGCGTCTTGGAGGCCTTTTGGAGGCTCCGGGAACGCTCCAGGAGCCGGGGGGGCCCTTCATGTTGTCTGGGTGCCCCTGGTGGTCTTTGGCCCCAGGGCCCCCGGGACTGGGTTTCCGGTCTATGACAAATTCGTCATGAATACATGAATGGTAATAACAACATGTATTACACCCGTAACCAGTAACAAACGAAGTGCAACTCATCTAAAAATATAGTAATAACGATGTTAATCCGCCGGCCCTCTTGTGGAGCCACCAGGCTCTAGGCCAAAGGTTCGCAGTTTCCTGTACCAGTTGCAGCTTCCAGTTTCCACTGTTACAGTTCTGCTTCTTGCTGCTTACTGTTCCCTCCTTGTTCATCGACCGCGCGAGGGGGGGGAGGCCCAGACGGGCAGGTTTAGCACGCCCTGAGCGTATGCTCTGAATTGTTGGGGTGGGTAAAAATCTACACCCCTCACGCAGATCGGCGGGGTCGGGGTCCAAAAACACATGGGATTTGCCACATGTCTGAAATTCGGTAGCACCCCTCACGCAGATCGGCGGGGTCAGGGTGCCAAAACAC